TGGCTTTAAAGTGAAGCCTGGTGCATCAGCATTCCCACAAGAGAGGTGGTGGAGTTTGTCACCTGGGGTGGTGCATGTGAGGCTGGCTGCTCTGCTTGTACTGTAGGAGCTCTGTAGGGATCCAGCAGTTTTTGGTGAGAGGGCAGGGTGGTGTGTATTGAGCTTTGCATAGCTGTGAATGGCTAAATTGAAAGTCAGGGAGTAGAGAAATAAAACCTCCATCTCTTGTGGAAGTGGGAAATAATAGTCTCTGTTGTGAAGGTGACTGTTTACTTTCACTGCAATAGAAGGTAGGAGATTTTGTAAGCAATATTACAGCATTTCACAATCCATAAATCAATCCATGTTCTTAGAAATGGGGATGGGCAGGAGGTGGCTGTGTCTTTATATCAGCAGTGGATGCCCTGGAGTATTTAATGGAAAACAGGTAAGGCTAATATTGGGGAATAGTCCTGGAATAAAGCTCAAATGAATGAAATAGTGAATATTTTTCATAATAGTTCTTTTTAATAAGATGCCTAACAAGGGGGTTGAAGGAGGGCACTGGGGTGGTTTAAAGCTGAAAACCAAGCATTTTTATGGGAATAGACTCATTAAAGCTGTCTGTTACAGAAGTGCAACTGTTTTTCTATGAACGTGATATTTGTTCAGTAGTTGAAATGTGATTCTTAAAAGTATCCTGTCAGTTTTCTTTTTTGGTTATGTAATTCATAAATATCATTTTTAAATAGACTATATACTGTGCCCCAGGAAGCCTGGAACACACCTCCTTGCTTTTTACTGGTCTGGTAATGTAACCAACCTGCAAAATAAAGGTTCATTTTATTACTGCATTTCAGGCAAGTGTTTCACCAGATTGGGTAAATTACTGATGTTAATCAGTAAGTAGAGATGTGGTTCTGCACCACAGTGTGTATTGTCTAATATTGTTCTGTACCACAGAGTATATTGTCTAATGCTGTTCTGCATGCCAGCATATGTTGTCTAATGTTGAACCAGACTTAAGCTGCTTTAAGATCTTCACATTATTTAAAATACCTTCAATGAAGTAGTAACTTTTTTTAACAATATATTTAAAAAATAGTTTTTTAGAAAGCACTTCTTTCCATTAGAAGCTTTTCTTAGATTTAAATAATAGACCTTGCTGTTCCCTTTGCATGCAGGTTTGCGGAAGCCACTTGATTGCTTATTGTAGTTATACTATGATCTTTTCAACCCTCCTATCAATACTTAAATTCTATAGAGGACTTAGTTTTTACTTCCACCATTCTGAATTACAGGCTTGGCTTAAGGAAGTCTATACCATTTATTCCAGCTTCAATGCTCAATGTTACAGCGCAGCATGGGGCAGCTGCTCGCTATGGGTTAGGGAGCTGGGAGTCGAGAGGGATCCTGTGACTGGTGGGTCAGGGGGGGAGATTGCCAGGTACATCCATGGTGACGAGGCTGTGGTCAAAGTGGTCAGCCCTGTCTGTGGCCTCTCCACAGAGCATCTGGGAGCCTCCCTCCCTCCCACCACAGATATTTTCATCCTGAGTTACCTATTCTGTTAATGCCATCAGTTAGCCCCCAGACTGGTCTGCTTGAGCAGGAGACTGGAGTGGAGACCTCCTGAAGCCTGCTGGCCTTCTGGGGTTACTGAGTGCTGCACACATTCAGAATTCAGTTCCATGGTTCTTCCAGTCAGAGGTTATGATTTACTTAATGTGTTTGTATTTTACATGTCCAGTTGCTTAACTTAAATTCAAAACTGCTTAAGACTCTCTTTTGGATAGGACGAGGCCATTTATGTATACAATCTGTTTATATATTGTAAAGTTAAAGACACTATGAGAAAGAAAAATGCTATGAAGCATGCAGTATAATCCTTGAAATAGATCCTCTGAGTCTTGAAGTTACCGATTTCTCAGGGCTCACTGTACAAAAATGTGTTGGTTCAATCTTCCACTTAGCCACAGACCCCATTTTAAACATTTATTTATCATTTCCTTGGTATCCTTTCTCTTTTGTAGGTATCTAAACAAAACTTTTCAAAGTTGTAGTATTCCCTTCCTCCTCATTTCCTCACAGGACAAAAGATTGCTGCTGTTGTGTGCCCCAGAGCCTGACTGAGACAAGAATCCGTTCCCTGTTAGCATCCCAGATTCTCTGGGGATAGAAAGCTGTGCTGTTGTAAGCAAGACGACCCAAGTTCACTTGGTTTAGTTGCATTATGTTTGTTGATACTGGTTCTTTTTTCACTTGGCTGACTTGTCACTTAACAACCTTCCTATTTTGAAGTCTAGTGTCAGACTGGAGACCATCTGAACCCGAGGAGGCACTGGTGATCTGCTGTGTAGGAGTTAAGGGTGTCTGAAGCTGTGGTTTGCAATTCAGTGAATACTTATCAGTTCATGTGGCAGATGCCATTAGTTACGGTTTCCCTTTAAACAAAAGGCTCACAAGTGCCTTTGTACCAGGTTCATTGGCAAAAGAGAAAGGCATAGTGTGCACATGGAGTATTCAACACCTTCCAGAGCAGTCCACTCTCCTATAGATTTATTTCTTTTTCTATACATTGCATACTTTGCTGTTTATTGATTCCCCCCCCCCCCTTTTCCATATAATTGCACCTCTTCCATCTCATTTTGTTAAGAATGTGGCTATCTGGTTAAACTGGTTTGTACTTTTCATTGCAAGTTTTTCATTCAAAGACATCAAAGCACACTAAAAATTAGTCTAACCCGTGGCAAAACTTCATGTGAGGTGCTTGAATGCAATTTTTCATGTAAAAGGAGACAGAAACAGGTAGACACCATCAAGGTGGGTCACAGCCTAAATGTGACAGCATCAGGGATTGCTTGCAGAGTGCTGATTGCATGGCTATTAATAGACCATGTTCTCAACCTTTAGTTTCGTAGGCATATATCTTTCCTGTTAGTGCATGACCTGCTGGCTCTTTAGCTGTTCACACAGTGTATTGGAGGTCGACTTGTATGGGACTTTATGGCCCTTTTTTTTTTTTTTCCCTATAGTCTCTTTAAAGCAGGCAAGCTATGAGAATCTGCAGTGTACCTACAGGAAAAGTACGTCTGTACAGCGCATTTGGTGACCCCTTTGAACTCTCCCTTTAAACAGTAGAGCACCTACTGATGGACTTTGTGTTGGCATTTCCATCAGGTTTCTGAAGAGGCAGCATTGCTGACTCGATCGGTAAACCTCGGGTTAGATTTACTGATTACACAATTCTCTTTTCCTGAGGCAAACAGGGAGCTCGTAATTGCTCAGCGTACTATAGTTTCCAGCAGCTATAACCAACCACACCTGTCAGTTTGCATGTGTCATGAGGCAGGATTTGGATCACTTCAAGTCTCTTTCTTTCTTCCTGCACTGCTGTGAACTGGTGGACTTCCGTCAGCAGACAAGGAGAAACGCGCTTTTAACCACCTGAGCCTCTCATTGCACTCTTCAGAACAGTGACCACAATGTGAAACAAATGTGTTGAGATTTGAAAAGGGTAGGTTGTGGCAGCTGAGTGTGCTCCCTCAAAAAAGAGATGGACTGTCGCAATATACCATACTAATCCTACAAAGTAATAATAAATGGAGTTATAATACATCCAGCTGACCTACGGTTGCTGACTTTAATTTCATTTCTGAATACGAATGTAAATTTTGTTGTTTCCAAGACTGTGCTAAAACTGTGAGATGCATTATGTGTTGTTACCTCTCCAGCTGTATACCTGCTCTTTTCTTGTACATTGGCAGACACGTGTCTGAAGTTTTGGGAGTCTTAAGTCTCCAGTACACATAAAAACTTTGAGTTTACAGTAAGTGTTGAGCCTCTTGTGCAAACTAAATACCAGTCAAGAAAAACTGGTAGTTAATCAAGGCTGTCTGAATGTTACGTGTGAATTGGCCAGTCTCTCAAAACTTCTTTGAGAGCAGTTTACTTGACTACTTCAGTAAAGCAGTTATTCTCCTCTTTGAAAATGCTGGTTGTGTGGAAAATACGTGCTAAATAACACAAAACAGTTAGATGAGAATTTCCATTCCCGCAGTCACATTTTCCCCAGAATTGCTATTGCCTTTTAGTAATCTCTTTACTGCTGTAAGAATGCTGCAATTACTGAACTAAGGTGTATTTAGTGAAGATCTTCCTAAGTAGCTCTGTAAGAGGTATGTCCTTCTTTAATTTGTCTGTTTGCTAGGGAATTACAGCCGTTGCCTCCCTGTTTCCTTTCTGCTGGAGCACAGATTCTCTGTTGATATGAACAGACAAAGCTTCATTGATAACAGCACTTGATTTTGAGCCCTGGCTTTGCGATGTCCTCTCCTGCACTTTGGTTGCTACTGCTGCGAGAAACTCTTCTCATCAGCTTGTATAATTTGTTTTGGTAAATATAATAGTTTGACCACCCCTCTTGCTGGGTGTGCAAACCTGATATCCCTGGAAAATCTGTGGAAGAGAAGGGAAGGGTTCAATGATGCAGAACAGCTGGAATTGCCTTCTCTTTGGGGTTGGGGGGGGGCGGGGAGAGGGGAGGGTGTTTCTACATAATTTTGGTACTCCTTGGGCCTGATTCTCCCCTGTCCTGAAACCTGCTTAGTAACCGCCAAAATTGTGAGGAGAAGCTTCAAGCATACAAGTACTCCATCATCTCTGTGACAATACAAAATGGAGGCAGCAGAGAAACAAGGCTTGTTTTACACAGCAAAGAGAAAGGATTTGAGGATCCTAATACAAGGATTAATGAATGTTCTCAAGCGTAGAAACAGCCCAAGTTTCCTAATGAGCATTTTACTGCATTTCAGGCAACTGTTTCACCAAAACTGTCATTGCTTTCTTTGAAGCAGACTGACCTGCAGCTGAACTGTGCTAAGGCGTAGTTTTAACAGAATTATACCAGCTGTTAATAGAGATTTAAAAAAAACCATGAGCTGGATTCACAGCTGGTATAAATTGATGCAATTACATTGCATTCAGGGGAGGTCCATGCATTATATGAACCTGAGGGGGCTGATGTTTGGGGCTTTTCTGAGGCTGATGTGCAGCATGTGACTGTTCTTTTCCCCATGTGTTGTGCTGTTTTGCTTACTGTGAGATGGTGCAAATATCCAGGTTTAGAGATTCCTCTCTTGGATTTTGAAGAGTCTCCTGAATCTGACCTTTTACCACCTCTAATGCTTCCAAGCCCTTGAACAGCACAGCATGAAGACTGTTTGCTTGGCTGGAAGTGCACCAGCCAGGGACAGGTACGGAACCTCTCTGAGGCAGACATAAATATATGTATGTTATTTCACTTCATAGTGTAAAGCTACTTAAATGGAGGTCGTGTTTTCAAGGATAAGCTTTATTGCAACATGTTGAAGATGTTTACACATAAACAGTATCTGCACTGTGGTTTTAGCCACTGGTTTGCAGGTAGGTGGAAATAAAGGGAAAAAACAGGTGGATTCATCTTTTCTAGGTTGCCTGCTCCTTAGGAAAACTCTCACTAAAGCTGTCTTCTTTAGACAGATTTATTCCCTTTAGATATCTGTTGGTGGATTTTTTTAATATAAGTAAAAGTTTTAATGAATTACTTAATCTCTTTAAGTAGTTATCTTGTAGTGCTTTTAAATTACAGAATTCCTAGGAGATCAGTGCTACCTGAAAAAAAAACACCTAAGCTGCTCTTGTTAAGAACTATGTTTTTCAGTGTCTGTCTGTCATAGTACAACGCCTGTGATAATTGGAGGCTTTTCCCTTGTTACTTTAGCACAGTGAAGTGATAGCTCTATGATACAGGTGCTGTTTATTAGCCCTTGCATATTCTTATATATAGAAATGAAAGTCTTCTGAAGAAATAAAGGTAAACAAATCTATGCTGAGGAGAAACGCCTTTAGTTTTATGGAAGTCTAAACAGGCATTTTTTTTGGATGATTACTGCATGCCATTTCCTGTTACAGCTAGAGTGAAGGGCAGCCAAATATTAAATGGGATGTCTCAGGCCATAGATACTAGTTTCAGAGACAGTATTAAAATTCAGAAAAAAATTAGTACCCTTCCTTGGACTGATACCATTCATGGGGACAAAAAAGAAGCCAAACCAAAGAAACAAAGGCAAGAATTCCTTCCCCCCCACCCCCCCGTCACCACCAGGGAAATACTTCTATATTTTTCTTTAAAGATTTTGGTTTTGAGTGTGTACCTCCTTTAAAACTACAGTTGCCTAAGTTACTTCCCTCTCCCAATATAAAGCATTCTTTATAACCAAAGAGAGCTATTTTGTATGTGTGAGATAGGAGAGTATGTATTTCTAGCCTGTTTTAATATGGTTTAGCAGGTGAACAAGGGAGCAGAATTACTTTCAGGTGGCCAAGTACTCCTTGGTAGAGCAGCAGCAGGTGAACTGCTGGCCTCTAGTGGTAGATGGGGAATAACCTGAGAGTGTTGCTATCTCTTGCTCAGAGACTATACGTTCTGATGCTGCTTCGTGTAAATTACACCATAATTTGAAGTATGACTGAGACCACGGCAGTGATTTAGTTTCAGTTACATGAATTATTTTCAGTAAGGTTCAGATAATCTTAAAATGGAATACCCTTCACTTTTACCGTTGTAAATAAAGCTCAAGCTGTGTGTGAGCACTGGAGGAATGAAATTTTTTCTGTAGCAAGAGCCAAGGGCAGAGTTATTTTTAAGAGAATATGCAAGCAGTATTTTATAATTTCTCTGAAGAGCGAAAGCCTCTCTGGCTGCTTGTGGCAGAGAAAATTATGTGATTATAAAACACGTAATTCTTTGAAGATAATGTATTTTTTCTTTTCCAAGTGATTCTATAAAGAAATATGTTTTTTTCTGGACCATACGGGCAGCTTTCTCTTTCTGCCCTTAATGAGGAAAATAATATGAAGGCCACCTTGGTGGCCTGTAAGTAAGTGCTGTGTTACAGGGCTGATCTCTGCCCTACTATGACTGCAGAAGCTGCAGAGGGGATGAGCTGCAACGTTTCCATTTTTATCACATCACTGAGCTGTGGTCCGGTCCAGCCAGAGTTGCAGTGGTGCTCATGTGAGCTCTCCTGGTGAAATGTAGTAGTTGTCACATGGAAATGGTAACCAAAACATGCTGAATCTGTCTCGCAGTCTCCAGGACAAATGTTCATTACAGCAATATCTTAGAGGGATTCAAAGGAGAGAGGAAAGCACAAACCTGTCAGGACAGCTGAGAGGGGAAGCAGCTCCTTCATTAATCCCAGAAGCAATCAGTATGAGAAGTGAGACATTTAGTGTTACTAATTTGTGTATTGTCAGCTATTTTTACATTGCTTTAATTTTATGTGATAAATCTATCTGCGGTAAAATTAGTACTAGATACCGTTACTTTCAGCTTAGTTTGGTCCTTTTTTTTAAAGGACAGAAATAATGACACTGAATTCTGATCACAGAAAATGGTGGAATTCTGAGGTTGAACCAAAGAATCTGTGTCAGGGTAATACCAGAATGTAATTTTATTCCCTCGTTCTTGAATGGTGAGTTACACTTTGGCTTTGAGGTTGAACTAGTGTTTTGTGGTGAGCCAAGACTAGCTGCCATTTTTGCAAGGATATTCACTTGTAAGACCTCATTCATCCCTTTTTCTTCCCTCTTCTCAGTCACTGAAGTGACAGAAAGGATCTGCTTACGCTTATATGCACCTCAATAACAGTATTTGCCAAACATTTCCTGGCAGGACATTTTGTGGTAACTGAAAATTTCTCTTTGTTTATCCATTTACTCCCTTTTATTTGTTTGTCTGTTCAGAGTTATGTAAGTTACCTGCTGGGTTTCTGGATGTGTTCTATCCAGCAGAAGGCAGCATTGCAGGTGGAGAGGTCTCAGAAACATGATTTACTTTCCCATATAAAAGATAACTTGCAGAGCAGATGGTTCAGCTGTAGAGCCCAGCTTCTCCCTGCTTGTCCAGCTGTGGTCTGGACAATTGGACCTAATAGAAGAAAATGGCAAAAGCAGCTTAAAAAAGCTAAAACCTGCAAGAAGCTTGAACAGCCAGGTGTTGGTTACCCAGCACAATTCCTGTGAAGTTTCTATTACGGTGGAAATCTTAATGTTTAAGGTTTGCCTCTGAAGCCATCAGTGTTTCAGCAGCTCTGGAGTCTTTTGGAACCTTTCCCCGGGGTGTCTCCACCTTGGAATATGTGGCTTTACTGTAGCTGCTGGAGATCAGGCTTTGTGTTTTGTGTTCCCCTTATTCACAGGGAGCAGTGGCTTGGAAGAAAAGACTGATGCCCCTCCTGGCATTCATAATACAATTTCCTTCCATTTACAGGGTCTTAACATTACTTACTCAGCTGTGCAGGGGTTGATGTCAGTGAATAGCTGGCTGAGTCATTTTTTTAGTTATTTAACATGTTGAGAATAAGCCTGAAGCTGTCACATGAGTTATGTCTACATAGGCTTTTTCTAGCTGCAGCCATTCTTAATTTCTGTGCTATATTAAAGCTAAGCTAATAATAGTACTTTGGGTGATACTTTGATGGGAAGCTTTGTTAATGCATTTGAAAAGGAGAACTAAAGAGGCTGCTTAATTCAGTGCTAGAAATGTTAGAGGCAACAGTGCTAAACTGGAGATTGAATGAATAGGTGGGGAGCAGCTAGCTGTTTTCCTAAAGTAGAGAAAATAACTGTGTGTAAGTCTTTGCAGCCCATTAACTAGGGAATAGGCACAATAGCTGCGTTGTTATAGCTGGAGCTACTTCTTTTCTTACTTAAGAGAGGAAGCTTAGTCTTTCAAGTAGAAACTGGTTGTTAAAAGTGAGACTAATTTTAAGAATATGGGAACAGTTACTCAGTCTCTTTGTCACACGTTAGTAGTCATTCCCACACTGAATCTTTTCTTCAGAAGTAGCCCATCATTTAAACCAAGTTAGTTAGAGAGAAGGAGACTGTGCTTGTTGAGCTGTCAGCAGATGATGTAAAAAAGGGGCAGCCAAAATAAGGTAAGGCCATCTCCAAGCTGACTTGAGAGAAGAGTGGTGGCAATGACAGCTGCATCTGGGAGGAGCAGACGATGCTGGTGAGGTATACTGGAGACTCTCATAAGGCTGCTCTTGTAGCAGAGTTACATGCCAATGTCAAATACATTTGTGTAGGGAGAACCAGATCCCTTTTGGGTGGACCCCTATTGATGGAATCGGTGGAGCTGTCGTGACAATAGTCACTGCAAGACTGTAACCCTCTAGATATTACTGATTTTTCTATTAAAATTAAATTCAGTAGATGTTAACTGGTCATAAAATCAAAACATAAAACCAGTGTATAAAATCATAGAATGGTTAGAGTTGGAAGGGACCTTAAAAATCGTATATGCTTTCTTAAAATCAATGGGTTTATGTTTGTTTGGCAGAAAACAGCTTTATATATTTGAGTAATATTTCCTTGGCTGAGTCTGCGAAAGCATCAAGGGCAGCACAAGGGAACAAGCCAGGGTGAAAATAGGAGACACAAATGCTGAAAAAGATGGTGAAAAATGAAAATACATTAGTGCAAAGAAACTGAACTTTGGGTAGCTTTTTGTTGCCTTCTCTGTAAATCCCCACATTTAAGGGGTAAGCTAGTGTGTGAAGTCCTGTGGCAGGAAAGCTGATGCACATTACATTTATTGCTGACTTCCACTATCAGTTTTTCTGTGGCACTTCCTATACAGGCTTTTTGGCACAATTCTGGTACAATTTAATACAGAGAATCCATCGCATAGACCTAGCCAATCTTAACCAAGACAGGTTAAGAGGCTCATCTGGGACTGTCCAGGGACAGGCAGAACCTGGCCTGTGGGAGTCCTGTCTCCCCCATGTATCCCATGGTGGCAGACTGTGGTGGAAACAGCAGCACCTGTGCCTTTGGGTTGCCTGTATTCTTTTAATTGCTGATTGGCCAGTGTAGAGTCTCAAAACATGTCCTGTAAGTTACCTTCACAGAGGTGTTATGGAGGCTGCCAGTGCACGTTACCCTGGGAAGATACGGTCTGTAACCTATGTACAGTATACAAAGGGAGCAGAGCCAGATCTTCAGCTTGCTATACAGTGGCAAGTTTTTGTCCACATATCGAGATTGGCTACTGCTTTGGATCTGAGGAAGGTGGTGGGGTCAATGCCCTATATTCTCTGTATCCCCCTTTGCTGCAATTGTACAGTTTGCTCACCATATATGCAAGCAGATAAGCTCTTCTTTTGTATTCCTTTTTTGATTTCTGTTCGTGTTTTGCTTTTTGCCCTGCTTCGTACATAGATCAAATGGTAAACCTTGAAAGCAAACATGCAAGGATAAACAGATTGTCCACTCTCTGTATCCCTTACAGACAACACAGACTTTGAAATGTTTTTTTTAGTTTCAGCTAGAAATGTCAAAATAATCAGCGACTGGAAAGCTACTGCTTTGTATTAAGGGAAAAAGTTGACAGAATTTTCACTAGCAACAGGGCTTTTAATGAGCAACTGTTAAGGAAGAGAGGACCAACAGAAGTTACTGTTTGCTCGCTGGGATTACCCTGTCAGCTGTAGTTCTTTTCAGAAAAGCAGAAGAATGTCTTTATGGTAATTAAAAATGCAGGATATACTGAGGACTGAGACTTTCTTTTTACACTTGGAATATGAAGCTTACAATCATCCTGGACATTTGAAAAACCATTTCTGCAACTGTATTGAGAGCAGCCTTGCAGATGTGATGCAGTTCCATGAATGAGTCAATGGCAGATCATTGTCCTAACCTTGTCCTGGCCTCCATATCATTCACAGGTGAAGTGCCCATATCTTCAGACGATGTAACTGAATGAGATGCCTCTTCTTGAGATTTCTAAAACTCATAACTAGTGTAGTTAACCTAGTGTAGTTATTCTTGCAGGAGCAATGGAACAGGGATATTTGTAGCAGTTAGTGTTGAAACTCAGGGAGACAGTCCCACTTTTCTCTGTGGGATTTGAGCATGTAAAGTCCATTAAAACCAATGGTGCTAATGCTAATTCTGCTAATGCCCAACTACTGCTGATCTAGAATTTACTGAAATAGCTTTTGTTTTTAATGAAGAAATAGAACAATCACAAGCTTTATTAAAGGGACATCATCACTCACTGGTCTGTATAGTATTCAGCTGTCATGCTCTGCGCTTTCTTTACTGATTTCACTGTCACTTTCCCAAGTATAAAGGCTGTTCGTTCTAGATCTGTACACAATGTGTTTTGTTTTTTTCTAGTACACAGACCACTATAGGATAGCTCTGTGCAAGAATTGGTTTAATACTGGGACAAAGTCAGAAAAGAATGCCAGAGACCAAATTCAGGTTCTGTAAAGACTAAAAAAACTCGGTAGGTGAACTAACTTAAAGACATCCTTGTTTCCCTAAGAAAAAATTGTCCTAGGTATTTGTATTGTTGCTGTTTTGGTGGTTGTGTTGTTGTTGTTAATGTAGAAGCAGATTCTTGTGTCACAACTAGTGCTGATAAAATTTTAAGTAACACAGAAAAAATATAACGTCAAGGGGCTGTGCTGAAAAAACAAGCGCTACTTTCTCTGTACTCTGGCTCATTAATCTTCCTCTGGTTTCCAAATGATACTTCCAACTGACTTTCCTGATTATACGATTATTTTAAAGAACTGTCAACTTAACAAAACTTGAAAATTGGATTTGCTTGTACAAATCCAGAATATGTTTTTTATTAAAGCTTTTTTTTTCTGATTATATTATTGCTAAGGTTACCATTTTTAATTACTGTATTTTCATTGGAGCCTCACCTGTAGAAATTAGATTTGAACCTCATAGCAGTAATAAGGACTGAGTTGTTTGTTCCTGAATGCATCCTTATCTCTTAGAAGGTGACATGATCTGGCTGTCCCTCAGGTTTCAAACAAAATGAGATCCTTCAGATTAATTTTGTGTTTCAGCCTAACAAACAATATTTGGTTATGTTACTTAATGAAAAAGATTGCTGATGGATGCTCTCATTCTCCTTTGAGTTGTTATCTGTGCTCATTGATCCATGAGAGTGGTTTAATTACACCAAAACCAAATATCGATGGAGGTACAAAGAAATAAATCTTTTAAATCTGTATAGTGTAGTTCACTGAAATAACCAAGTTTACCGCCCTTCCTAAGACTACATTTAAGAAAGGTTAAAATGGAGATACAATGTGCTGTGTGTCTGCATCCTTCAGTACTCACATTTAACCTGTTTATCATTACTTTTAAAATTACATGCTGGAACAATGGATTGATTTCTAGAGGAGAGCTTTGTAGACTTCATGTGATCTGTCTTTGTGTGATATCTCATGTTTATATTGGGCTTATTTGCTGTGGATTTATTTTAGCCACACTTAAAATAGCAAGAATTAGCTATGAAAGGGTAGGAAGTGGGCTTGTGTTACCCAGATGACATACAAAAAGGTTACTGACTGAGATTAGCTCTCTCTTATAGCTATCAGAGTGGCAACATTTTGGTTGAGTGGGACCTGTAGGCTTCATTCTGTTTTGCTGCAAGGAGCTGCATTCTGGAGGTTTTTCTTGAACATAATGTATTATTCAACCATCAGAGTCATCAGCTGTGTTTTCTAAATTGTGGGACTCAAGACACTTGTGTGCATGTAAGGCAGAAGGGTAATTGATGTTTAGGTCAGTACCTTGAATGGTCTCTGAAAATATGGTAGTTGTGTGATCTGATTGTTGTAATCTCATTTCTTGGTTTAAAAAGTGAGATTTTTTGGCTGCATTTCCTGGCATTCTGCTGAATTGCTGGGTGAAAATACAGTAATTTAGATCAACTCACATTTCTTTAACTCCGTTTGTGAATTTCTCTAAGGGCTGGATAAAGCCTTTAATTACAGAATAGCTGTGGAATAAGTATCCATAGGACAATGCAGGTACCATTTATAGCTCAGCTACATCACCTTTATGGCAATCACACTTAATGTCAACTAATGAGCGTTCATGAGAGAGTAGATATTGGCAGGATAACACAGCTGTTACTGCAACTGTAAAAGGTCATTGGATTTTTAAGCTTTCAGTTAGGGATCAGCTACTTAAATGAGCAGGAACTGATACTTCAGCTGTTATCATTGTAAAGTCACTTAAATGTATATGTACAACCAGTGAAAATCCGACAGCTTCCACCTTCATGGCAATCGGGAAAGCAGACCTGACCTTGGTGGCTCTTACTGTCTCTGCATCAAGTGCAAAGCAAACACTGCTTGAAGTATTTCATGTTTGTTGCCATCCCATAGAGTCACCGACTTCTGAAATCAACTCACAGGTTCAGCTATCCCATCATTTAAAACAAACCCCTACACCTCTCTATTAAACAGTTATCAGGCCATTTTAGAAGTGATTTTGTCCCCCTCTCTAAATGTTAAGGTGTTCACATTTGAAGCTGAGACTGAAGTGGTCTCCCTGGAGTCAGATGGGAGCTGGATTGTGGAGATGGAAATTAAAACTTGAGTCTCCTGGTGCTGGTTTGATGTCTTGTCCATTCAGATGTGCTGTCTGCACCAGTGGTGTGTGTCCAGTGTTTCCACTTTGCTTCTGTATTTGGTTTTATAGTCACATTCATAAATATTGCTCATCTTGTTTCCTGCTAGACCATTTATTATATTAAAATCTGTGCTGTGTTACCCTTAAGCTGAACTCGAGGGTTGGTATACAACAATCCAGTGTTTATGGCTCATTTAACTTTGCAGTTTTTAAACACGGTTATTGATACTCCTCTGTCATTTATTTGTAATCGCTGCAAGGACTCAGTCATCCTGACTGAATTGGACAGAGAAGTAGCTTGCAAAATATGAAAAAAAAGGTGAATGATGGAAAAGCTGGTTGTTATCCTGCATCTCTAGTTCCTTGTGATTTAGGAAAAGCAGAAATTCTCCATTTCTTTTTGTTTGGTTGTTGTTTTTTTTTGGTTGGTTGATTTTTTTTTTTGGTGTTTTTGTTTTGTTGTTTTTTTAAGAATGGCATTTTGATTCAAGTGACTTGGAAAAACTAGAATTATTGCTGCCTTAGTTCTATAGTATTGTATGCAGTAGGCTGGATTCGGAAGTGATGTGAGTTTTGTTATTAGTTGCATACCAGTAAGCCAGGAGAGAGGAGGGTCTCACTTCCTTCAACTACAGCAATCCAAAAAGTTAGGAGTTTAGTACATTTTTGTTGTCAAAATGAATGAAAAACCAATGGCATCTGATCATGACGTGCCATAGAAGTGGAGTGAGAGAGAACTGAAATATATCATTGAGCAATGGGGTCTAGTGGAAGGTGTCCCTGTCCATGGCGGGGGGGTTGGAACTATATGAGCTTTAAGATCCCTTCCAACCTCAACCATTCCATGATTCTGTGAATGTGGGAAGTACAGAGGTGACCAGCTTTGTATAGAGACTGAGGAGATCTTGAAGCAGGATTTTAGAAATAACTGGTGAAGAAGATTTAGAAATTGTCATTTCAGTGTCATTATTGATGACTTCTTTGTGCGTGCTTGCTATTAAAACCTTAAGCGTCTAATCCTGTGTTAAGTTTGCTCTTTTAAATCAATACTACCAGAGGAGATTTTTGCTTACAGAGTTCATTTTATGTCTGACAAATGAAAACTAGCAATGAGGAGTTCCTCTTTTCCATCTGCATTTCTATTGTGTGTCATAAACTGGCTTGAAATGATAGATGAATGCTATTGATTGCTCAGTTGTTCATGTCTTGGGTATAAATTGCTGTTATTATTACTCTTAAAAATACGTTAGGTCAGTGTTTTAGTGTCTGTTTCTGTTGGTACTTCTCCTTGCATCAAGAGGCAAGTTGAACACCTCCCAAAGCAGTAAAATACAACTTCTGAACTCGGGGAACTGTAATACAGTTTGCAAATTGGTGTAGTGAGGGTGCAGCAGTACAAAAAGAATGGTAGGGTAGAAGAGTCCCTGTATTTGGCATGATCATCACATGCCTGGAGATTAGCAAAATGAAATGGGGATATGTGTTGTAACTTTTAGGTTGTTAATAACTGATCGCCCTATAATTGCAGTCTTTTGTCTTTGGAAAAGCCATTTTTTTCTCAATTGTGTGTGCACTGTTTATCTTCAGGACCAAATAACCTGGGTAAAAAACCAAAACAAGACACAAACCCTACATATGTACATACATGGCAGATTAGGCTTGAGCCCCATCTCTGCTGAAGTGACTTTTGGTAATTTGAAGTGATTTGGTTGGGATTTTCTTGGAAAACTTAATAGAAAATACTCATCTAGAAGATATGACATCGTTTAGTCTTCATTGTCTTTGATCATTTCATCTTGATTACAAGGGCATAAAAGTGTTTGCTGCATGTTCCCCTCAGAAGGGTTTTAATGAAGTACACTCTGTTTCTTTTCTTTCAAGATATTGACACTTTTTTGCAGATATGGCAAATAGAGGACAATAACAGGTTTGTGTCTACTGTTACTCTAATAGAGATGTTAAAAATGAATAGACAGGTGCTCTCTTGACAGAGGTAATTCTGTAGATCCAGACCACTTGCAAGTCATTTTGAGCTAGGTAAGAATTTGCAGTGGGCATTATTTTAATAGAGTATAGGGGTATGTTGCCTGAGAAAGGTGGTAGTTCTAACTGAAAACTGTGGTCAATGAGGTATGATTGAAGTAATTAAATTCCTTTAGAATTAACCTTTAATGAAAGTCTCGGTGTGATTAATAAAGAAAGGAAATTCTTCATAAAGGTTATATGTTAATAATATTAACACTTAAGCTGTAATG